GACCCACAGAAAAGTCAGTTGTGGCCACACAAGTGAGATGCAAAATAAAAAATCCTCCAAGCCCCCCACAAGATTCATTAATGTGGTCCCAACTGTGCTGGTGGGAGCAGGGCACATGGTATTGGGGACGAGTGCCAGGGGGTACTGGGACAAGGGACGGGGTGCTGGGTAGGGTGCCAATTGGTGCTGGGGCAGGGGACAGGGTGCTGGGGCAAGTAATGGGGGCTGGGGCAAGGGCCAGAGGGTTCCGGGGCAAGGGCCTGGGGCAGGGGACAGGGTGCTGGGGCAAGTAATGGGGGCTGGGGCAAGGGCCAGAGGGTTCCGGGGCAAGGGCCTGGGGCAGGGGACAGGGTGTCAGTGGAGGCAAGGGACAGGTGCTGGGGTAGGGACAGGGTGCTGGCAGGGGGTGGGGACAGGGTGCCAGTGGGAATAGGGGGCAGGGAATCCTCAGCATGCACCTTCTCTGCCCCCCCCCCACCTGAGGAGGGAAGCTCTGGCAAAAGCCTCCTCCCAGTACTCCTTCCCCCTCCCCCCCAAAGGAGGAAAGCCCCAGCACACGCTTACCCCCAGGACTCCTCCCCAGCACGCACTTCCCTCCAGGACTCCTACCTCCTCCCCCGCAGAGGAGGGGAGCCCCGGTGCGCGCCTCCCTCTCCTCCCCCACAAAGGAGGAAAGCCCCGGTGCGCGTTTCCTCCCAGGACTCCTCCCCCCACCCTGGCACACACTTCCCCCCAGGACTCCTACCTCCTCCCCCGCAGAGGAGGGGAGCCCTGGTGTGCACCTCCCTTCCCCTCTCCCAGGAGGGAAGCCCTAGTGCATGCTTCTCACCAGGACTCCTCCCTGGCATGCGCTTGCCCTCGGGACTCCTACGTCCTCCCCCGCAGAGGAAGGGAGCCCCAGTGCGTGCCTCCCCACCTCAGGACAGAAGCCCTAATGCGCGCTTCCCCCTGGGACTCCTCCTTCCTCCCCGGAAAGGAGGGGAGCCCTAGTGCACGCGCTTCCCCCCAGGACTCCTCCCCTCCCCCCCGGCATGCGCTTGCCCTCAGGACTCCTACCTCCTCCCCCACAGAGGAGGGGAGCCCCAGTGCGCGCCTTCCCCCCCCCCCAAACCTTCCTCCTGGACTCCTACCTCCTCCCGGTGCACCACAGACCTGGAGGAAGGGAGCAGGCAGCGTACTTCCGGAAATCTCGGAAGTGGCGCACAGCTACTTGACTTCCCTCCAGCCCGTGGGAAGCCAGCACTACCTCCATTTTTGGAGGTAGGTAGTGGGGCTTCTTGGGGGTGGAGAGAATTGGGGGGGACCCCAAATGCCTCGTGATCGACTGGTCGAGCCCTCCTGATCGACCAGTCAATCGCGATCAACGGGTTGGTGACCACGAATCTAGGGGTTAGAGTGGACCACAAGCTGAATATGAGTCAGCAGTGTGATGCTGTTGCAAAAAAAGCAAATATGATTCTGGGATGCACGAACAGGTGCGTTGTGAGCAAGACACAAGAAGTCATTCTTCTGCTCTACTCTGCGCTGGTTAGGCCTCAGCTGGTGTATTGTGTCCAGGTCTGGGCACCGCATTTCAAGAAAGATGTGGAGAAATTGGAAAGGGTCCAGAGAAGAGCAACAAGAATGATTAAAGGTCTAGAGAACATGACCTATGAAGGAATGCTGAAAAAATTGGATTTCGTTTTCAGGTATCTAAAAGGGTGTCATAAGGAGGAGGGAGAAAACTTGTTCATCTTGGCCTCTGAGGATAGAACAAGAAGCAATGGGCTTAAACTGCAGCCAGGGAGGTTTAGGTTGGACGTTAGGAAAAAGTTCCTAACTGTCAGGGTAGTCAAACGCTGAAATAAATTGCCCAGGGAGGTTGTGGAATCTCCATCTCTGGAGATATTTAAGAGTAGGTTAGATAAATGTCTGTCAGGGATGGTCTAGACAGAATTTGGTCCTGTCATGAGGGCAGGGGCCTGGACTTGATGACCTCTCGAGGTCCCTTCCAGTCTTAGTCTTCTATGATTCTATGATAAGGCCGACTGGTCTGTAGTTCCCTGGATTGTCCTTCGTCTCTTTTTTAAAGATGGGAACTATATTTGCCTTTTCCCAATCATCCAGGATCTCTCCCGATCTCCATGACAGTTCAAAGATAATGGCCAAAGGCTCTGCAATGACATTTGCCAACTCCCTCAGATGCATTAAATCCGGACCCATGGATTTGTGTATGTCCAGCTTTTCTAAATAGTTCCTAACCTGTTCTTTTCCCATCAATGGCTGTCTATCTCCTTCCCATACTGCATTGCCTAGTGCATTTGTCTGGGAGCTGACCTTGTCTGGGAAGACGTAGGCAAAGAATGCATTGACTACTTCAGCTTTTCTCACATTACTAGGTTACCTCCCTCATCCAGTAGGGGCTCCACACCCTCTCTGATCACCCTCTTATTGCTAACATGCCTGTAGAAACCTTTCTTGTTACTCTTCACATCCCTTGCTAGCTGCAATTCCAGTTGCGTTTTTGCCTTGATAACTCCCCTGCATTCTCGAGCAATATATTTATACTCCTCTCTAGTCATCTGGCCAAGTTTCCACTTCTTGTACGCTTCCTTTTTGTGTTTAAGCTCACCAAGGATTTCCCCGGTAAGCCAATCTGATTGCCTACCATATTTTCTTTTCTTACTGCGTATTGGGATGGTTTCTTCCTGTGCCTTCAATAAGGCGACTTTAAAATACTGCCAGCTCTCCTGGACTCCTTTCCCCTTCATATATCCCAGGGAATCCTGCCCATCAGTTCTTTGAAGGACTCAAAGTCTGCTTTTCTGAAGTCCAGTGTGTGTATTTTGCTGCTCTTCTTTTTTCCTTTGGTCAGGATCCTGAAATCAACCATCTCATGATCACTGCTTCCCAGGTTGTCACCCACCTCTACTTCCCCTAGTAGTTCCTCCCTGTTAGTGAGCAGCAGGTGCATGGCCTGTGCACGGCCCCTGGTTGGTTCCTTCAGCACTTGAACCAGGAAGTTATCCCCAGCATTCTCTAAAAACTTCCTGGATTGTCTATGTACTGCTGTATTGGTCTCCCAACAGATTCCAGGGTGATTAAAATATTGTGTTAGGAGGAGTAAATAACACTTTCTCGCTTTCTGTACACTACTCATGATTTTATAGACCCTTCATCATCTCTTCTGCAATCTGAACAATCCCAGTCTTATTAATCTTTCCTCATATGGAAACCATTCCATACCACTAATCGTTTTTGTTGCAATTGTCTGAATCTTTTCCAATTCCCATGCATGTTTCTTGAAATGGTGCGACCACCTCTGCACATGTAGCCCTGTGAGAATGTGGGAGCATTCCCATGTGAAGGACAATCAGTGGATTCTCTTTTGCTCCCATAAGGATCCTCTTCAGTCTCAACTTTGCAAAGTGTATCTTGGCACCTGGCAGACAGTACATCCTTCAATTCTCCGGATCAGCTCTGGTGGCAGGACTGTCCATTCTTGTTAGTAGGGAATTCCCCGTCAGATAGACCTGCCTTTTTCTGGTGGGTGTCATTCTCTGGCTTTCCTCATCAGTTCTTTCTGGTTACAAGTCATCTTATCTTCTGTTCTCACTTGCTAGTCTGTATGAGTCACCCTCTATTGTCTTGGGGCTCCAAACGCTGGCTATTTCCATTTTCTCTTCCTATCATCTTTACTGTGTTCTCATAGTCAGTCTTCCATGGGACACTTGCTTCATCCAGATGTCTATCCTCACAGTACTCTTGTGCAGCATGCATCCTCAAGTTTTGAGTTTTTCCTTCTCCCTCTTCTCCCCTTCCCTCCATCATTTGCTCAAATCCCCTTCTAAACTCAACCAGAATTTCTAGCTGCAGCTTGAAATATCAGACCTCCTCCCCCATCAGATCCAGCAGGTTGCACTTCATTCAAATGAAACACCTTCCAGGTACTTCTTCAGAATAATGTACATGCTGCTGCTTCCACATCCTATCTTTTTCAGTTGTCTCTTCCATTCTTCATGTCCCTGTCCTGTAACTGCTATAACCTTCCCTCCTACACTCCTGTCAAGAACCTCCCCTCCCCCCCCCAAAAAAAGCCCTAAACACCTACCCACTTTCCCCCAACTTCGCCTTAAAAACTTCCATTTAAACTTCTCTGTTTTCAGCTGCTTGCTGACTCCTGTGCCACTGGCAGGCCAATAGGCTGCCTTTGTAACCAATCAAGATTCAGCTGTAAGCAAAGACTCTGCTTCTCATACAACATGTTGCCCCCATCAGACTTCAAAAACAAAGCAGGAAGCAAGCAATCATTCTTACAAGAATTCACACAACAGCCCTAAGGAGCAGGCACTTGCATCCCTTATCCCCCAACAAATTGAGACCTACTCTATCTTTAGCTCTGTTTGCTTGCTTCCATGCCACAGTGCAGTCTAAGGAAGTCTTCCAAGTTCCCCAGCTCCCCAGTAGATCTTGGCTGTGATCAATTGTGGGCTCTTCCCACCAGCAATCAAAGGTGTAACACGAGCCAATGGTTGGCAACTGAAATTAAACAAAACCAAAAAGTCTGGTGGCACTTTATGCTCTACTACGCTAATAAATTTCTTTGTCTTTAAAGTGCCACTGGACTCCTTGTTGTTTTTGCTGAAACAGACTAATAGGGTTTCCTCTCTGAAACCTGAAATTAGACAAATTCAGATTGGGAATAAGGTATGAATTTGTAACAGTGAGGGTGACCAGTCATTGGAACAATTTACCAGACTCATGATGGAGTCTCTACATTGGCAATTTCTAAATCAAAATGGGATGATTTTCTAAAAGATCTGCTGTAGAAATGATGTTGAGGAAACTCAATGGCCCGTATCCTGAGCAGAAATAAAATGGTCAGGCTAAATGATCAGGGAGGCGACTTCTGGCCTTTGACCAGGCTCATACAGCCAAAGAATCTATGTGCATGCTACACTGAGGGGAAGGGAGACTGTAGGCTCAGCCTGTTTCTAACTCTGTGCTCTCACCCTGTGCAGATGTGGAAGGCAGCTGTAGGGCACAATGTAGCTGTGAAGGTGGAGTCCCAAGGGGATGACTGGGACACTGACCCTGATTTTGTGGTGAGTTTCTGCATATTGCTGGATTGTGTCAATCATGGGGACACGGAGCTGAGAGCTAGGACTTGAGCCCTGAATAGGTCCCAGGAGAGAGGTGGGATTGGCAAGCTCATTCTGCTCCTTGGGGAGGTTTGTTACTGGATTTAACAGCCTGGCCTACTGACTGGGGCACCTGGCTGGGAACTGGATGAATTTGGGTGCTTTTCTCAGTTCAGCTATGACTTGCTGTGCAACCTTGGGTGAGTCACTTCCTCTCAGTGGCTCTTATTCTCCTCCCCCACAATGGGGCCCTGCTCTTAGCTAGGACCTCTCGCTTTACATTTAAATGCATGTCTCAATATTGAATATCAGTCGCCAGCCTTTGCTCAATGCCAGGTATAAGCTTGGCATTGCAGTGGGCTGTTGTGGGGACAGGAATGGCAGAGAGCTGTGGATTGGGGTTGAGGGGCATTAGCAGAGCTATGGGGCATCCCAGAGTTTGAGAAAGAGACATTTCGGATGGTCAAGTTTGTGGAGCATTTAGGCAGTAGGGTGCTGTGGTTAAATGTTCTACATTTTCCATCCATGGAGAACAGCAGCATTCTTAGTCTTGGGAGCTTTATTTTCAATTAAGGGAAACAAAACAAACAAACAAAACCCCCCAAAAGACACGTCAAATAGCTTGAGAGAGCAGGTTGTCTCCTCTATAAAGTTCTGTGTCCCGGAATGGCAGCTGTCCTGCAGAACGTGAGTTTCTTGATATGGAGAGTGATACACACACACACACACACACACACACACACACTCTTCCTGGTTTCCATCAATGTGTTACCTGAGTTTCCACAAAAAAACAAAATCAGAGGCGTGATCATTTCACCTGGTACATTGGCATGCAGGAAGCTCATGGCTTTAATTCCTTTGTATTTGCACATTAGCATGTATTTGTCACTGGTGCAAGACAGGCTGCAACAGTAAACCTGACAAGCAGATGATTTTTCAATCCTTACTGCAAGCAAAAAGCAGATGAGAAGAGAGATTGCAGCTCCCTCAGTTTTCTGCTGCAATTGCTCATAAGATATCTAGATGTCACTAGGCTACATCTGGGTTGGTATCACAAATAAACCTGGAAATGCAGTCTGACAACATTGCTGAGAATCCTGTGACCCTGTCCCATGGCACAGTGACTCTGATGGTGCAGTGTCCCACTGCTGGAGCCTCTGCAAAGTTCTTGTTCAGTGAATGAAACCTGCCTGGCATGTCCACCAAGGAGCCTCACCAACTTCATGGGCGGGTATCATGGTACAGATTCCTGCTCTAACAAGCTCTTTAGTGACAAATGCTTGATGAAGGAAGCATATGTACTGCAGGTCTGGGGCTAGGACAACGTCAAAGCTAGAGTTGGTCAGGAACCAGAATTTACAGGTAATGGGAATTTAGAGCAATGGTCTCAAGTTGCAGTGGGGGATGTCTAGGTTGGATATTAGGAAATGCTATTTCCCAAGGGGGGTGGAGAAGCACTGGAATGGGTTACCTAGGGAGGGGGTGGAATCTTCATCCCTAGAGATTTTTAAGTCCTGGGTTGACAAAACTGGCTGGTATGATTTAGTTGGGACTGGTCCTGCTTTTAGACCTTCTGAGGTCTTTTCCGACTCTATAATTCTATGTTTTAAAAAATGGTTACCAATAAGAATGGAAAGCAAAAATAATGACATTTCCTGAGAAATGAAATTTTAGGGAAAAACTAACTGGAGTTTGAGGGTCAATCAAAAAACTTTGTTTCTATTTAGACATTATGATATTTTTATTTTATAGTAAAGTAAAACAATATAAAACATTTTTATTATTTGATATTTGTATTTTATTATATAATTTATAATATTAAATCCCTAAACAGAAAAATTAAATATTCCATTCTGATAAGGTCCAAATGGAACATTTTGACTTTATTGAAACATTTTGCTTTGGTGATTATGCAAAATTAAATGTAATCAGAAATGACACATTCCAGAAGGGCATGTCAGTTGAACTAACCAGCATTTTGTCAGTGCTCATCTGGCTGAAGCAGCCATATGTTTTCTGAGGAGGGAATTTCTGAAGGGCCAGATTCTAATGCCCTTGCCAATGCTGTTGTCTCCAGCAGCTCCTGTCAGCTCCTCTCATGGGGAGTTGGGTTTGTTTTGCAGAACGATATCTCAGAGAAGGACCAGAGATGGGGAGCCAAAACCATTGAGGGGTCTGGACGGGCGGAGCACATCAAGTAAGTCTCCCCTTTTTTAGCTGCTCTCCAGGCTGTTGGCTAACACCTAGCAGTGCCAGAGTAGGTCAGCCCAGGTGACCATCTAGTCCAGTCTCCAGTGGCCCTGTCAGATGGGAAATGTCCAGGGTTGGAGAGGGGGTTCCCAGGTCACAGCCACATGCCTCTGCACAAACACTAACCCTCAAATCCTCTCAGGGAGGGTCATAGCTAAGTCTGTGTTCACAGTTTGGAGTGGCACTCATCCCTTCCACCTAGGGCTGCCAACCCTCCAGGACTGGCCTGGAATCTCCAGGAGTTAATGATTAATCTTTAATTCAAATGACATCATGTGATGAATCTCCAGGAATACATCCAATCACGATGACCAACACTGTCATGCAGAGTAGGGGGAGGGCGAGAAAGGAAGGGACAAGGGGAAGGGGCTATCTACCCAGACCCTCACCCGTCACCACATAAACATAGCCTTTCCCATGCATCCAGTGTTCCCATGCCTTGGTCACCCTCAGCACTGCTTTATGTTGGCTGGGGGGCGGGACCTGTTTGGCTTTTGAGAATGTCTTGTTAACTCCTACCTCATTGCTCTGCCCCATCCCTCCCCACATCCCTGTCTTAGCCTCAGATTTGCTTCCCTCCTCCCTGTTCTGCTCCTTTTTTGCTGTGGGGCTAGGTTTGGGTGCCTCTGACCTGGGACCTCTGATCATCTCACTTTGCTCTTCTGCCCTGGTCCAGGGCCAGGGTTGGCTGTCTCTGGGTCATGTGAGCCACCCCATTAGAGAGGGTCTTTCTGGGCCTAGCTTTGTCATCTTCCTTCTTCCCCACTTAGCCCTGAGCATGTTTTGATGGATATCTTTGGTCTGTCCTCAGATCTTGTACACTGGCCATTTGGGATGTGGACTCAGACAGATGCTGTGTGGTGCAGCATCTCAAGCTGTGCCTATTTGAAGCACTGCGTGAATAGGACCTGATTACACACTCCAAGCACCAGTAGCTTTGGCCTAACCCAGCACATCTGGCATAGCTCTGTTTCTGTCTGTCAGAGACCAGGATATGAGCAGCAGCATTCCCTGTAAGCTGAGCACTTGTGCAGCAGCTCGGGAGAGAATCAAATGCTGCCCAGCTGATTAGCAGAACACCCACAACTAGATTTTTTGTTTTTACTGGTGGTGCACAATCACACGTACCTTGGTGCACATAAAATAATTTATTCTTCACATGACTGGGAAAGATTAGAGGGACCATTGATGGGCAGTCATACTAGGTGGTTAGAGCAAGAGCTGGGAGCCAGGAATCAGCACTAAGAGCCAGAGCTGGAGTCAGAAGCCAGCACTAACTCTCATGGCTGAAGTCAGGAATCAGAGCCGAGTTATCTGGAGCCAGGCAAGTTGGGGCCAGGCAGGAATGTGACAGGAACAAGGCTGGAAACAAGTAGGCACAGGAGCTCACACAACCATGGGTGAATGCTTTGAGCAGTCACTCAACTCCTGCTGGACTTAAGAGCAGGCCTGCTGCATCTCTCCACCAGTCAGGCAGCCTGCTCCAAGCTAGCTATGCAAGTCAGGTTAGCCAGAGAGTGGCTCTGCTGCAGGCCGAGTCCTGACAGTGCCTACCCCTTCACCCAAAGATGCCTGGTGGAGCCTCTGTGTACAAGTCTTTCTCCTAATTTAAAACAAATCAGTTTTGGCATGGAGACAACTAATGCTATACTAAACTTGCCTTGGGTGCAGGAGGAGGCGAGGCAGGGTTGGAGTACAGGAGGAGGTGAGAGGTGCAGACTCCAGCTGGGAGGTGATTACCACAGCACCTCCCGACCAGTGATGCAGCAGGGCTCAGGCAGGCTGCCTGCATATCATGGCCTGACACTGCTTCCAGAAGCAGCTGGCTGCTGGCATGGCTTCATGCCCCTCTGTGGGGAGGGAGACAGCATGTCCGTGTGCACTGCTTGTGCTCACAAGCTCTAGCCAGTGGGAGCTACAGGGATACAGCTGGGCTGGGTGACACCTCCTCCTCTTTTCCTGGCCAAAGGCTGCACAGATGTCCCAGCAACCAGCTACTTCCAGGAGTGGCCTGGGGCTCTAGCATGCAGGCAGTCTGCTGGAGCCCTGCTGTCCCACTGCTCTTTTAGCAGCCCAGAGACTTGGCCAGTGGATCACAATCAATGGGTTAGTGACCACTGAATAACTGCAGATTTACTTTTGCGGGGGCCTCCTGAGCTTGAGGGCCTGGGCTGCAGTCCCTGAATGAATCCTGCCCTGGCAGAGTGGGGAGAGCCAAGGAAGTGAGCGGAGATGGAAGCTCATGAGAGGTGGTGAAAAGGCAAGTGATGAGTGAGAGGCAGGCCAGAGTGGGGGCAGCACCTGGAATGGAGAAGGGGTGGAATGGTGGTGGGTGGGACAGAAGAGGCAGGACAAGGAGCTGGCCTCCCCCAAGGAAGTTTCATCCACTGCCTGTGTTGAGCACATTGACACAGGGTTGATATTTAGTGGAATTCCTGAAGCTGTTGGATGGGAGAATGTGGGAGTTTCTGGGGTCACCTTTGGATCGTCTCTTTACATCTCTGAATTATTTGGAAGACCAAGTAAGATACAAAGAGTTCCTTGTCCTGGGTCAGCTCTTGGGAAATAGGACTGTCAGCAAAACTGTACTGTGTCTGACCACCAAAGAATGTGCTGGTCATGGGCAAAGAGCCAGGGACACCAAGAACAACTGATGAATTAGCCCAAAATGAAGAATTTCTTGCTGGCCTTGAAGGGTGGTTACCTCTAAGGGCGTTGTCTGGTGCATTACTGGCCCTGAGGAAAGGAGTGACTGGCCTATGGACTCCACTATGCTAAGGTGATGGGGGGGGGGGGGGAAGCTAAACTTTAGAGCCATGAAATTGCCTTAGGCACCCAAGTCTACCAGTACCTCAAGGCTGGTGTCAGGTATTGCAGGAGGCTTCAGCTGGACAGGAAATTGGAGGTGTTGGATGGGGACTGACCATCACTAGCATACAGGGGAAAAGCATTGGTGTAGACTTCTGGGAACAGCATCAAGCCAGCCAAGAGGAGAGTTGTTTTTCCTTGGAGTCATTTGGTCGCCGACAAATCAATCTTATTGTGTAGGCTGACAAGGTCAGTTCATTTCTCATATCGTTATGCAGTCTGACCCAGAACTCTGTAGCATATAGAGCAGCTGGCTGGCATCCCTGCTGCACCAGCCTTGGACACACAGCTTCCACAGTACGCTAGCAACTTGGGTAATCATAGATCATCAATGCTCGAATGAGCCAGGGCCTTCCCAGGAAACAGGCTCTCCAACAGTCCAGCCCAGGCTATATCAGTGAGATCCAACTGCAAGTGGAGCAGAAAGAGGAGCTAATGCTTTAGGGACCCATGAACTTCGTCACAACTGCCAGTGAGTGTCATCAGGCATGTGAAGCTTGGGCTCATGGGAGCAGGGAGTCAGAGCTGAAGGCAGTGTTGCTTGAACTTGTAGGGCTACATCCTGCAGAGTGGCCAGCTGAGCCTGAAAGCCCTGTGGAGTCGGCGAGAAAGGCCTTTTTAGGATCCAGGCTTGTTGCATGGGTGCTAGTGCCTTGAAGGGTTGTGTGTTTAGGGATGCCCAGCCTATCAGAGACCAGAATGTGAATGGCCATGTCTAGTGACTGGAGCAGGAGCCAAAGACAGAATTCAGGAATTTGAGCAGAGGGGTGGAGCTGGGTTACCCACCTGCAGCAAAGCAGGACAGGAGCAGGGCTGTAAACAGGCAGGTGCAGGAGTTAACACAGTCGTGGTGAATGCACGAGCAGCTTCTAAACTACTGATGCCAGCAGGCTGAGGAGGTACTCTGCTACTCTAGCTACTCCTAAGGTGGGTGGCCAAACAGGCAGCCTCTTGCAGCATCTGCTCTCATTCAGTTGCTCAGAGACTGGCTCTGCTGCAGGCCCTGATTCCAGAGTCTGAGTTGTGGCCCATGTTAGTGGCTACAATCTATCTCATGCTCATGGACCTATTCTGGGGCCCTGGTTCATGGCTACTGGCAGCTGGCCATGCTTGCTGAGCGTCAGGAAGGAGGATTCTGCTTTGTGCGGGTACTTTCACGCTATGTGCACAGGTCAGTAAGTCCTTGGCCCCACTAGCTGTGTTTGACTGCCTCACTTGCAGGGGCCATTGGCTTGTTGGTAGTGAGCTATTGTCCCTATACCAGACCAAGTCAGCCCAGGACCCGCTAAATTGAATGTTGAGGGTGCCCCTATTGGTGTCAGTATTCCTTGCTGTTGTCAAGAGTAAGGGAACATAGGCATGCACAGCACATTTCATTAGGGTGTGCACCCAAAGAATTTTTTTAAAATGCACTTTGACCCCCCCACCCCATTAGCCACACCCCTGACCTCTGTTAACCACGCCTCTGGAGGTAACCCTCTCTGGGCAAGATGGGCATATGACCAAAAGTAAAAAGTGTTACGTGACCCCCGACCCAAGGACTTTTCCCACCATCCTCCTATCAATAGGGATTAGTTTGGCCCCCACCAACTCCCTCCCATGCAACTATCCTGCAATTGCATTAATCCAATGTGTGTGACATTAATGCGGGGGTGGAGAGGCTGGGGGTGGAGGAGAAGTGTTCCCTCTAAAAGTTTCCTCCCATGAGCAGAATGAATTTTGTGTTGTGCACTAGTGCTGAGTTCATGTGGCTTGTTTGGATGTTCCATTGTGACACCCAAGTTATTAATTAATATCTAACTTTCCCCTCTGCTGCCATGTCTCCTCCCCTTGCTCCATCAACTCCCCTGGTGTCTGCTGCCCCCCAACCCCTCACCCTCCCCTCCTATGCTGTCCTGACTCCTGCCCTTCTCACTGCCCCCAGCCTTCCTGAGACCTGTTCCTCCTCCACCAGCCCTTCTCTCCCGCTGTTCCCACTCCTCCAGTAGCCCCACTCTGATCATGTGAGCTACCCCTCCTCATGCCTTCGTCTAACACCTCCCTCGCCTCTCTCCTCTGGTGCTAGTCCCTCCCCTGCAG